TCGTTTTTGGACCTAGGGAAATTTTTCACAGCGCTTATCTTTTTTAGATCTGGCCGTACGCCATCTTCAGATATTATGTGTCCCAGATATGCTACTTCTTTCTTCAAAAATTCGCATTTATCAGATTGCAAATATAAATTAGCTTTAGTAAGTCGTTTCATAAGTCTATGAAATTTTGTTTCGTGTTCTTGAAGTGAGCGGGCGTAAATTACTATATCATCAAGATATACGAACAACTCTATTCCTTGTAATCCTGTCAAAACTTGATCCATTAGTCTCTGAAATGTAGCAGGAGCATTCTTTAGTCCGAACGGTATACGATTATATTCAAAATGTCCATACGACGTTGAAAATGCGGTTTTATGTTTATCTGTTTCATCCATAGGAATTTGATGAAAACCAGATGCTAGATCAAATACAGAAAAGTATTTTGCACTTCCGAGTTGATCTAATATGTCAACGATATTTGGAAGAGGATAAGCGTCTCCGATAGTCTTTTCATTTAAAGCACGGAAATCTATTATTAAATCTATTACTAGACGCCATTTTTTATTTCCTAGGGAATCATCCTTTTTGGGAACAATCCATAATGGAGAATTGTAAGGCGAACTTGATGATTCTATAACACCTTTATCCAGCATCTCGTCGACCTGTCTTCGTATTTCCTCCTTGTATATTTGAGGATAACGATATTGCTTGACATTAATCGGACGATCATCGGTGGTAAATATTTGGTATTTAAAAACATTTGTCGCGCCTAAAGGTTCTCCTGGTAAATGAAATCTTTCCGCATGGGATGTTACTAGGTTAGTGGTACTAGTGACTTCCTCCTCGTTCAAATGATCGAGACATAGTAATTGCAATATTTTATTAACACGTTCATCGTCGTTATCTCGTTTATTACTAAAATTTTCCTTAATCTTTTCTCTTATCTCTTCGATTGGATATATCTTTACAGTAGGGATCGCTAATTCTATATCCTCATCCGACGAGTTAACAGCATATAAATGCGTTATTCCGTGATGATTTGATACGACGGCGTTACCTAAGTACACCTGCGGTCCTGCGTTTAACTTTGGAATATATCCATTTTTTATTTCTGGATTGGCGATTCATACAAATATTTGTTTTCGCATTCTAGCGGGAAGAATAACGGTCTCATCATTATGAAAATAATATGGCTTGCCATTTACGATCAGACTTGCCCTCGGGTAGTCTATGGTTGCTCGTTGGCTCTTAAAGAATTCAGTGCCCAAAATTCCATCCTGTCGAATAGGGAATTTATCCGTGACTACATGGAATAGTATGTCGACGTCGAAAATGCGTATTTTTGTTACGCCTATCGTACGAGTTCGACCTTTAGTTATTTCACTTAGTTCAAACACCATTTTGGTATCGATGGGCATGTTTTCATGAAGGCAGGTTTCTTTTATTATATTAATATTAGAACCTGTATCTATCATAAAGTTTGCTCGTTCGTCAACCAAATTTTTGCTTGGTAGTATAACGGAAGGTGGTTTCCCAATTTTATTACATGCGACGTTTATTACACTGGCGTTTCCTCGCGGTTCTCGTTCGGAGTTACCAGGCGCACTCGCGGGCGTTCGTTCAGCGCTGCGCCGACTCGCTGTGCCCGCTCTCGGTTTCCCGGAGCTTCTTGCGATCTGTTACGTTGAGAATTTTCAAGAATTCGATTTTCAAACATTCGGTTTCCGATTCGATTTTCTTGATTTCTCACATTATTGTTGTACTGCCTTTTTCGAAATTGTTCTAAGCTATGCCCTGGTATTTTGCAATATCGACAAATTAATCCCATATTTCTTGAAGTAGGGAAATTTTGTCGGTTGTTTTGATTAATATTATAATTTTGATTTCGCGGGTTTACATTGATTCCCGGGTTTCGTGGGTTTAGAATTCGTGGTTGTAACGTTCTGCATTCAGCTCGCGTATGACCAAGATTTTTACAAAAAGAACAGACCTTAGGCTGCCATTGTACGTGCGAAATCTGAGCGAGGGGATTAAAAATACTACACGACTGAGAATTGTGGCCATATCCAAGACAATTATTACACCTTATAGACTGCATTAATCCCTCTGTTATTCTCATACGTTGCATATGCTCGTTATATTCGCTTTCAGCTTTTATGGCAGATTCTATTGCGTTGTTTAATGTTCCCGGTTCTCGTGGGTGGATTCGCGTATATATATCTGTTTTTAATCCAGTTAAGAAATTTCTCACAGCATTGGTTTCTGCCGAATTTACGAATTGGTTCGGATTTTCGGTTTGGTAGCAAGATTTTAGTTGTTGTAAAATCATAGATACTCTGCTACCGTAATCTACCACAGTCTCATCCGGATATTGCGTTACTTTAGAAAGCTCTCCGTGCAATTGTGACGTAGAATAAACAGGTGCGAATCGCGTTTTCAAGACAGCCAGTAAGGATTCGATGTCGTTATACTCTCCGCTTAAAGCCACTCTGAATGCTGGTCCGACTAATTTATTTTTAATCATTTGAACTAATCCATATTCCGCACTTGGAGAGACCATATTTCGAGCATGCAGACAACTATTAGCGAATTGCGATACAGGCATATTTTTACCATCGAATGGGAGAATTGTCTCGGAAGCATCACGTAAACTGGTATATGGCATATTCGCATTCGTACGTCGGTTTGTGTTAACGTCATCGTTAACGTTTATACCGCCTATCTGACGAGTCAAAGAGTCTACCTCACGATCAACCATTTTTATTTATGTAATTAAAATTTTATAACGGATTTTTACAAATACCGAACGATTTCGAGTCTTGTTACAATTATAAATGATAATTTTGACTTACATGTGAGTCGCAGTAAAGTAAAGCAAGACAAGCGTACGCAATTCCATAATCGAAAGTTCTTATCGCAGTTCAATCCCCGCTATCACTTGCTTGAAAATCTCCTCTTCAATTCTTCGTGAGATGAGGAAAATTCCACAAGATTCGGCTATCCCAGATAGTGAAGGATCTCGCCGAGTTTGGGATCCCACCGTTGCCACCAAAAAGTACTTTGTCTTCGTGTGACGTCCTGGGAGGTCCTGGTAGATCGGACGGAGCCGAAATCAACAGATCCTCGACAGCTACACTCACACGTTATTTGTGAGATTCTTTTTCATGCGGTTAAGAGAATAAAACCTCAGGATTAGATACTGCGAAGGAAATAGGTAACAGGAATGTCGAAATGACTTTTATTTTCAGGAAAGAGTTTTCGATTTTAGGAATAAGGAATAATATAATATCACACTTGTGGTATTTGAATTGGAATTTATTCACTGTTATAAATGATAGGTATATATATATATAT